TGAGCTTTTCAGACCCATCGTGAGCACTATTGGATTTCCTATATACAATTTGGCAAAATTTCTGGCCTCACAACGACAAATGCACATTGGACTCACTGCACACTATATTAAGGACTCATCCTAATTTCATAATCATAGAATGATTGTAAATTCCTCAGGTGGGAATCCTAAAAAAAATAAATTGGCTTCATTATCCCTGAACAGCTATTGATATGCATTTGAATATAGGATGACACTATAGTTCAGCACTATCTATTCAAAATATTAATAATGTTATTAGTGGGACACACAAAAGAAGAAAGCACCTACCTACATATTATCTCCAACTTTGTACATAGCTTTTTAGGGAGGTCCACTGTATCCTTCAAGAAAACAACTTGCCAATGACAAATGCATATATACTATTGTGAACTGCAATAAACACAATGTATCCCAAATTATCCTGCCATCATCATCATCATAATCATGACAGGGTTCATATTGTGCCGAATTTCCCCCATGGTTATAAAGTGTCATGGAACTATTTTGGCTGAATTGTGTCTAAGACATACCAATAGTTATGTGTCTGTAGTAGATAAAATTCATAAAACAATTCATTTGAAACCTTGTGTTGCACATCACAAATTATACACTAATAAGAATATTTAACATTATTATCTTAAATTGAATTCTTTCTGAAGTGGTCATGCCTTTATTTAGGTTTATGGTAACTGAAAGGATCATTAGCTTATTAACAGTGAAGTTACTCATGGACAGAAAGATTTTCAAAGTCAAGTGTTTGCAAGATTGTGGGCACACTAGCTCTTTGAGGTGATGCCATCTAATTACATATATAAATATCTTCCAGTGTTCAAATATTTGTGAGGAAATTTCTTATGAGTGTGACTAATACCACTGGCTTAATGTAGACAAAGTGCAGGTGGAGGTTGTGCAAGCTTTCCCATGGATATCTGCCAATGCACCTGAGTAATTTCAACCAGAAACTTCCCATTAGTGGAAAAATCTGGGCAACTAATGAGCAAGTATAACCTGCAGCACATAACTGAATCCTGTGCGAATGGATGTTATTACTACAATGCACCTTTTTTTAATGCATGATGGGATGCATGCTGTTTTAAGAATATTTCTGATCGGGTTTTGGCATGTGTCTCTTGCAAAAGAATTGACTTCAATTACCTTTATATTCCTGTTCTTGAATTCAGGATTCTAAGTTGTTTTCTTCCATAATTAAACTATGTCGTGATAATCCAGATACCTATACATTTTTTCTTGTGCTGAAGCTGGCCATGATGCCTGTTGAAAAAAAAGGCATAATGAAAAGGACTATTAGATAGCAAAAGAAGGTTACAAAGGAATTATTGCTGTTGTGCCTTAAATCCGCCGAGTCAAAAGGGATTTTTTTCAACAGGGGATAGTAACATAATCTAAAGGACTGCCTGCACTTCCATGAATATACAAGAACACTGTAACTATGGTGGAGGAAGGATACTTCTCATTACTCTGCTGTCTGAAATGTGGAAAATCATAATGCAAAACAGTATCCATCCAGATTGTAATATCAGATGTATATGAGAGCTACTGACTTTTTTTGACATGATGAAAAACAAATCTTCTCAAACACAGCTTTTATAGGGATCCTTTTGAACCGATGGATTTTGATCATATATTGTGCTTTTGATACTGTTATTTGGTCACTTTATTATTTTAGTCATTTGTTGTTTTGTCATTTTATTGTTATTTTTAGCAACCCTAGTGGTCCCCCTTTGGTTGGAAGGACAAGATACTAAAATATTAATAAATAATATATTTTTCAAAATCCTTCCTTTCTCTTGCTAGTAGACTTCACTTTCCAGCTATCTGCTTTGCAACAGGTGTAATTTAGATCACAAAAAATTCCAAAGTACAGAAAGTAGTTTGAAAGAAAAGTTAATTGAATTTCAAAGGAAGAAAAAAAGCTTATTGAAAACTTAGACATCATTTCTTGGTCAGGCATGCAAAAATTCTTAAGATGCCATCACATGTTCTCATAAGTTGCTTAAAAGGCTAATACAAAAACTTGGACTGCAGTGCCCAGAATCTCTCAACCAACAAGCCCTCTGAAAAAAGTTTAGGTAACAATACCAAAATAAAAATCCTAAGGTTCTACAAATTATCAGACTAGGTCAGTAAGGAAAATAAGTGGAAAGCTTGCATTTCCAATGTTTCCATTAGACAGTATCACTTTTTTTTCCAGAAGAAATCAGCTAGCGCGTAACAGAATATGGAGAATAGCACCACTTTTTCATCCAGGTTCAGACATGTTCATCACAAGTTTGTCAGTCATCCTTTTAGATTATCATACAGTGACACGGCTCTTCCAGTTTTATTGCAGTTTAATTAACTGTAGTTGATTTCATAAACTGAGAAACATAATGAAATCCCAATATTCATACAGAGATTGCTTCTTCAATAGAGAATTTGTCATGAATGTACCATGTTTGTATCTTCAAAAGAAGAGCCTTCAGCCATATTAAGTAAATGACTCTAGCTTCCATCAATACAACAAATAACTTGAAGAAACACCAAATGATAGAGAGAGTACCTGGGGATTCCTCTGTTTCCTCTCCTTTAATGAGGGTGATTAGTCTAATATTGCCTTTTTTAATAGAGGTGAATAACCATGGTACCTTTTTATTTTGGATTAAAGCCTTGATTTATGCACTGCTGCACAGCCATAAAAAAATCTCATAAGTCTTTTATAAACCCTGACACTTGTACAAACAGGAAGAAATGTGAGTGCTCATTACCAAGTTCATCAAGCACTTTTGCTATAAATTATCCCTGTAGTAATGTAGATGATGTGAAAAAGAATGGCTCAAACCTGTAGAATTTTGTGACTATAATTTTTATCTTTCTCTGTATTTGGTAGCATTTTTGTACAGTCTTCATTTTGCAGTAATTCCTTTTATTTATTTATTTATTTAAAAACATCTGGTCCACATGTCTTATATAGTGTTGGATGGATATTGAAAAAATGTGGAAGTTTAATTTGTGTGGCCTTACTATGATGATAAATGGAAAAGAATCCAAAATTACAAAAACATAATTTTGTAAATATACCGCACAGTGTTGGAAGAAAATAAAGAGCAAAGTGTTTTACACATTGTGTCAGTGTACAGGTTTTTCCATCTTCTGATGCTGCAGTTTTGATGCCTCAGTCTTTGTTTGCAGATTATAGACAAGTTCTATTTAATCAACAAGAGGTTTCCTCTTTTGTCAGGTCTTCTTGCCTACAGAAAGAACAGACCTCTCCTTGAATCACTTTAAATGAATGCAAAAGCTCTTTTAGCTTTATCACACAGAAATGTCATAAACTTTACAGCTGATTCCACTTGCAATGGTCCCTGACCCATTTGATAACTGGGAGCTTCCTGCATATCATATGTGAAAGGCTTTTGGGTGTATTGATTTGAGTGTTGGACTAGGACTCGGAGACAAGGTCCAAATTCTTATTCAGTGTGGAAACCCACTAGGATGCCTTGAGCTCTCTCCTCCCCTAAGAGGAAGGCAGTGGCAAATCTCCTTTAAATAAATCTTGGTAATAAAGCCCTAGAATAGGGTCACTGTGAGTTGGAGTTGCTTTAAAGCAGTGGTTCCCAACCTGTGATGCATGGATCACCAGTGGTCCGCAAGAACTAAAATATGGTCCATAGCCTCACCATTACTACATCGTGTTAACAGGAGCAACTGGTCTTGCAAAACCCTCTTATCATTCCGAGGCTTATTAAATATAGTTTTCTGTGGGCAAGTAGATGACGACTACTGGATGTCATATGTTCTGTATCAGAAATTAGAGCCAATGTGGTCTATCCAATGCAATTTTCTGAATCAGCATCCCAAATAACCAAAACCAAATCTAAAGTTGGCCAAAAACTGATTCGTATCCCTTTTGGTACTAATGTTGGAGAGTGGTCCCTGATCAAAGTGATCCCTGGTCAAGTGGTCGTTGGTCAAAAAAAGGTTGTGAACCACTGCTTTAAAGACACAGAACAACAACAATAATAACAATCACACATGTGGTCAGCAACACTCATCCCACTTCCCTTATATTTGCAATGTTATGCATTGCTGTGTGACAACATTTACCACTTTATTTTGTCGTGTGCACCACAGGGAAGTAGTTGCATGTGAAAAACTGTTTTGTCACATGAAAAATTAAAAGGACTCCAATGTAGACTATGTCTCTGTCTAACCCAATAAACTAACAGTACATCGTACTGGTTCACTCAGTCTCTCTCTTCAGTGGGTATTTGTAATTTACATGGAGGTAGGGAATTATCCTTTTAAAAGATACATCTTTAATGTTTCTTTCCTTAGAACTATATTCTTGTTGAGTGTAAAAAGAAAAGAAAAAAGACAGAAGACATGCTTATTGAAAAGATGTGTGAAAGCTTAGTACTTAGTATAATAATAAATGTGAAATGATCCAAAATGACAAATACATCCTTTTGTAAATGTACTGCACTGAGCAGGGATAAAATAAACAGCAAGATATGTGATGCCAGGATGTCATATGATCAAAGAGAATACATTGAATAGCTCATACCTATTATTTCAGATAAAATGAATAATTCAGTACAAAGGTGTTGTGATCGCTTCTGATGGAGAGAGAGAAAAAATGTATGTATGACTCAAAGATTTAGTGACAAGGAAACGCAGTGCTGCTTTTAAATAATAATGTCAATTCTGAGTGTGAGGTGATGTACAGGTTTTGCTAGTGCTATTTTTCCAAATAATTTGAATGGAAATATTGGATTGGCTAACCTTATGTCAGGTCTGTTAGTTAGATAAACCTTCCAACTGTTCCAAACTGAAGGATGTATAGTTGGGACTGAAAGCATCTGCTGCTTTTTTATTCAGCGTTTTGTAAAATATACTATCATCACGTTTTAAAAATAAAATGATTTATTAAACTGAAAGGAGATCACAATAAAAAAATACATGGCTTTGTCTTTTCACAGGGAGCTTCATCCCAGTAGGAAATCCTTTTAGCCGAACTTCATCAGCTGGACTATGCATGGTAAGGAATACCTGCTTTTGCATATATATAAAAAAGAATATAAACATTTAAAAATCCTTCAAAAGTTATCATTGTACATTGTGCTTCCCTTTAAGGATAAAAGGACTGCCTTCTAAAAAAATAATCCTTCATGTAGGCTTTCTGCCTCCTATAGTTGTTCTCTGAAAGCCAAAGAACAAAAGATCCAATATTATCTATGCACAGTATGATTGTAATTCATTAGAATGATGTATACCTGATTTTCTGTCTTCAGTATTTTTTAAGATTCGTAGTTATGGAGAACAAGGCAGAGATGACAGAACTGGAACTCAGATTGGAAGTTAGTTGTGCTGTAAACTGAACAGATAAAGGTTGAAATGAATTTAACTTCTGTTAAATGATATGTTATGTACAGTAACTCACTTGTATAATAATTATACATTGAAATCATTGTGAGTTTTTGTTTATTTTCAACCTTCTTAAACTTATGTGTCTGCAAAATATTTTCCAAGACTGTTGATTAACAGGCTAAAATCAGTGGGTTCACACTTTGGAATTTTGCATCTTTGTGGGAAATTTTGAAGAAGGGAACAATAATTTTGATTGTGATGTCAACTCCCTTGTTCCCATTATCAGAAAATTACAAATACTGCTTTAAGAGTCTTCCTTGGCTTCCAGGGGTCCCACAGACAATTCTATCTTTAGGCTCCTGCACTAAATCTTTGTTGCTTCACAAAGAATATTGGCATGATTAACTACATTTTTAGCTTCTAGCTAAATATTTGCTAAAATTCAGTACAGTGGAGCCCCCATTTCCTCTGGGTTCCTGGATCCCCCATGGGCTATTTAGGCTTGCTATGTACAATGATGTAGGAAAATGACGCCCCTTATATAAATCAAAGCTTGGGATTAAAAAATTCCAGCCATAGATGGTTGACTATGGATGCAGATTCCATGGATACAGAAGACAAACTATATTTATATGCTTAAATATAAGAATCATCTGCTTCCTATTTACTTCAGAGCTTCCTTTGCTGTCAGCCTCATACACTCATAATTTTTATAATCTAGTTGGGAATTCAAAACATAAGCTGTTTTGGCAGTGGAGTTTCTATCATGCACAACAGGGTCTCTGTTATTTTTTAATTTCTAATTTACTGGCCTTCTCTTCTAATTATGTCCCTGGGTTTATATTTATATGTTGTTTTTTGCCACTTAGTACTGAAACTAGTCTTGATTGATTGATTGATTCTGGCTACATTGGCTTGCAAACACTCCTGAGTGACAATTCTATTCAGGTATCTTGATCCATAATAATTTTGACTAAAGAGGGAAAATGGAGGAAAATGGAGTGGGAAATCCATAATATAGCATTCATTAAGTTGTCTTATTTGATGGGGGGCACATTAGTGATAGAAAACTTCTCCTAACAGTATGTAAATTGACATCCTTTAGAGTTGAAAGTGAAGTGTTTCTGATTAAAGAAGAATTGATCAAATAGTTTTGGAGTGTGCCTGAATACATCTTAGCAGTTGAATTATTTTACCTACTTTTCCATTCATCCTTTTAAAAAAAAACCCTATAGACTTTGTCATAGCAGCTGTGTTTGCATTTCTTTTTTGTGTTTGTACATTGCAGGACTCACTAAAGTGCAGCCTGGCACAGCTTTTCCTCTAGACAGATTATAGATTCCCATGCTCATTAAATGCTTGAGGACTGTAATCAAATGAGGATCATAGTCATCTGAAAACTCAGGAAGGCAACCATGCTAGTAGTGGTATAATTTAATGATCGAGGCTCCATAAAGACCAAGGCATAACAGTGGTTCTCTTATTTCTTAAATTCTAACTTTTAAACTTCTAGTACACCTGTGTTTTTTTCCTTCTCAGTTAGGCTCTAGATAGTTTGTTTAGTGCTTAGACCATAGGTCTTTCACAAATAGGACAGACAAATAAATGTATAAAAACCAGGTTATAAAATGCAATACAAAATACACTATTAAAATAGTATTTAAATCATTAGAATCATTAAATTGCTACATAAATTGATAGCGAGATACACCCTTAAAATACTGCATCTATCTATATATCTAGTTAGGTTGTATCAATCTTTTATCCATGCTTCTAATTATGCTTCAAATTCTAATTAGTGGATGAATTCCAGTTGTAGTATGGGGACTTGTCCATTGATATGATCTCACTTGATCTTCTGTATCTGCCATCATCTACATTTGATTGATTCTTATTTGATTATTTGATTATTGTATGTATATGATGTATATGTATATGATGCATATGACTTACAAACAGGAAACAAAGTGAACTACAACCCAGTAACAAGATTAAACAAAATTGAAATATCATTTTAAAACCACCAATTAAAATGTACAATGGTTTTTTTTTTTAATGTACAAAAGTTAAAACGAGAGTATCCCTCACACATTACCTTAAGAAGGCACCCTGCAAACTATTAGTCGTGTTTGCCTGGTGGGGAAAGAAGAGCATGAGAGTAATTGCGGCCTCACCATAGCCTCCTTTAGGTACAATGGAAAGCTTCATGACTCTCATTACTCATGTAGCCAGTTCATCTTTCACTGTTTTTGGAAGCCAGAAAGGTCAAGGATCCTGTACACATGTGGTGGCTCTTGCCTCTCCAAGGGTTTTGTCCTGTCAGGCTGCACAAATGAAACATATTAAGTAATGCACAACAAACAGGTGCCAAAATTACTACTGGAGCTATATCAATCACAGCATCCAAGTCAGAACACATCTAAGCTATTTTGTCTGTAAAGTATCTTCTTCACATAGTACTTTTAACTGGAATACATTACCCCCAAATTACTCTGCAAGATTGAGGACCTTTTTTTAGCATTGGCAGAGATGGTGCTAAGTAAAGTACAGGCAAAAGAGAATTAGAAAATATTGCCCCCCCCCCGCCTCAGCTTTGCAACATTGAAAGTACTCTGAACTGAATTCTGTTTAAGAAATGCTTGACCCAACAGAAGAGAAGCTGATTTCAACACACTATTTTTCTGTTGCAGAACAAGAGTGGACATCTCAGGCTGCATCTACTCTGTAGAATTAATGCAATTTGACATCACTTTAATTTATTTATTATTTATTTATTACTTGCACTTGTTAACCGCCACTCTCAGCCCAGAGGCGACTCGTGGCGGTGTACAAAACATAGAAAAGACAACAATTTACAGTGGAACAAGACCATCACACAACATATAAAAATCCGCTTCGTCTAGATTAGGGTCATAGTCAGTCTCATCGTCATAGTCCATTCCGGTGATCATTCCAAGGAAAACATATAGCACTAGCTGAAGGCCTTTTCGAAGAGCCAGGTCTTCAGGCCCTTACGGAAGGCCATGAGGGAAGGTGCCTGTCTGATTTCAGCAGGGAGGGAGTTCCATAGCCGGGGGGCCACCACCGAGAAGGCTCGCTCTCTCGTCCCCGCCAGGCGTGCCTGTGAGGCAGGCGGGACCGAGAGAAGGGCCTCCCCAGATGATCTTAAGGTCCTCGTGGGCTCGTAGGCCGAGATGCGGTTTTCAAGGTATTTTGGGCCGGAACCGTTTAGGGCTTTGTAGGATAGCACCAGCACCTTAAATTGGGCCCGGTAGCAAATCGGCAGCCAGTGGAGCTGGGACAGCAAGGGCGTTGTGTGGTCAACACTCAATGCTGGGGATGTTGGGAGTTGTAATTTGGTAAGGCATCAGAGCACCCTTATAGATAAGCCTAAAATATTTTAAATCTACATCTTCAGGATTCCACAGCATTGAACTATGGCAATTAAAGTGATGTAAAACTGTGTTTATACACCCTCAGTCCTTTGTGCAGTTGCAAAGAGTGTTTGAATAAATTAAAGTACTATTCCAGAAGCACTTTCATTTACTTTGCAAATTATTTTGCTATACAGATATGTTTATTGGTTTTAATATGGCTTTGTGATTATGGCTCTGGTGGGCCATTCTCCCAAAAGGAGGTGGGATATAAACAAAACAATACAAACAAATTGCATGCCACTCAAGGTATAGTTAGTAGAAGGATGGGAGAAAGTGAAGTAGTAGTTGTAGTAATATCAGCCATGATAATGTAATAGTTAAAGCAACAATGAAAATACGTGGTTTGGTAATGGCACAGTGACAGACAGGAAGGTGCTCCAAAAGGTCACCTCTTCTGCACATTAGCTGCCCTCTCCCTTTTTTGGATTAACTTTATAGGTCCCACAGCTCAGAGCATTCTTGGGAATCCATCTCACCGGGCATATTCTTTTTTTGAATTACTGTATATACTCGAGTAGAAGCCTAGTTTTTCGGTTCTTTTTTTAAGCTGAAAAAGTCTCCCTCAGCTTATACCCGAGTCAAGGTTTTTTATTATTTCACTCTATTATTATTATTATTATTATTATTATTATTATTATTATTATTATTATTATTACATTAATCATTTTACTCCTATTATTATTACATTTATTATTTTATTCTTTATTATTGTTATTATTACATTTCCATTATTTTACTCTATTATTACTGTTATTATTACATTTCCATTATTTTACTCTATTATTATTGGAAGGATATGTAAACACATTTACACTGAAGAAGGTTAGAATAATGCTTTAATCAGAGGACAGTCTTATCTTAACTTACAGTTTTATTCAAAAACATTTAACCTACTGATGCCTCAATTAATGCAATGTTACTGGTATCTATTTTTATTTTGGAATTTACCCGTAGCTGCTGCACCCCCCCCCCCCTCGGCTTATACTCGAGTCAATCCGTTTTCCCAGTTTTTTGTGGAAAAATTAGGTGTCTCGGCTTATATTCGGGTTGGCTTATACTCGAGTATATACGGCATTGCCATCTGGCAGACAGTACAGAGTGACAAAGACAAGGACAAATAAACTGATAGATCGTTTTTATCCTAGAGCTGTGGCTATGTTGAACTTCAAGATTTTGCACTGATGTGGCATTGGGGGTTGTGTAGTGGTGGTTGGAGTGTAGAGGGATGGGTGTG